GTAAAAACAAATAAAGATTGCTCTTTGCCAAGCTCACGTGACAAGGGGAAGACCGATCCCCATTCATTGCTGTGCTAAGCTGATGCGTCTTTGGGTGGGAGACACAAAGCACTTCTCTATCAAAAAACGCTTCCCATCTGAGCACCTGTCTGACATTCTCCTCCATTCACACGTTTAGCATTCTTAACAAAAGATATTTGCCATGTATGGCCAGCATTACTTTAAATAATAAGATGAACGGAATCTGGAGGATAAAGGCAGACTTAAAATGCAAATTTGTCCCACCATGCTATATATAGCTCATCAGTTTTTCACACGGTCTCCTTCTGTACAGAGCTCTTCTCACAAGCTACATCATCTGGTTCTTATACAAATCACTGACTATAAATAAATTGTATCTAAACATTAGACATGAACACCATATTGCCACACTATACCGCACCTTTGCCCATAGCTTACTCCAGCTCTTAAATATATATTTAAATTCCGATGAAGGTTTCATAATACATTGGCTGGTCATATGGTCCCCAGTCAATTTCAATCTATTTATAATAGAGCCACTGTGGGCCTTGCAACCATCACACATAGTAAATGACAGGTGACTATCACATTTGCAGTAAGCTATAAAAACAACCTTTAACCTGGTCAGAGGATGTCTGGAGCTCTCCATAGTGCTGCTAACTGTGCTTGTGGGTTAGTTTTAAGTCTCTAAAGCTCTAGGGTTGTAGCTCCCTAAACTTCCATGTGAGATCATTGACTGTAAGTGCATAATTAGTAATGGGCAATCAAGTGTAATAGGCTTGTCCCCAGTTGTAGGCAGGAGCCCTTCTGGTGCTAATGCCTTCTGAAAGGAATGTGGCTGCCCTTGTCTGGCCAGGGGCTGCAAGCGCAAAGGGTTCCCAGTAATGTGCCTCCTGAGGTTGGTGTTCCATGGGTGCCAGAGAAACACAATGGCTTTGGCACCCCACAGTGTGGCACCTGTCACACGGTCACGTCACCTATAGGCTTTTTTTGCACGCGCCTCCTTGACTGGCATTCTAGCTAGTCTGGATACATTTTTTTTTACACCGGCCACAAGGTCTGCTGTGTCCTGTACATGGCACTATTTTTCTGCATTTTTTCATTCCACAGACTATGATCAGAGTCCCCCTGACTTAACCGCTAGGTGAACTAGAGTGCCCTGTCCCTGTCAGGAACCTTGTGCCTTTGGGGGGTTCAGGGATATTGTGGCCCTATTTTTTGGAAGAGGACCAAGTACTCACATGCCCTTTTTATTGTGCTGTGATTTCGCAATTCAGCTGTTTTTTTTTCAAAGGGGTTTTTGTAACGATGCATACAACACAGAGCTTCAAAATAAAACAAAAATTAGTAGTGGGCAATGATATACCAGTTCTATCAAAGCCTACACACTTCTCAAGGGTGGAAGAATGGAGCTCTGGGAAGTAACTTTGACGGGATCAAAAAAAAGGGAATGTCCATGTATTACAGAGATGTACTGCATTTTTTTTTTTGCCCAGACATACGCTTTAATATACAACAAACGATTCCCAAAGCACTAAGGATTAGCTAAAGACACAATACAAAACAAGTTGTGGGAGGGAAGGGAATGAGGGGAATGACCCAATGCTCTCACTCTTCCATTTGTGTGTATACGTTTCAACTTAAGCTACTGAGCTCTGTAAACAAGAGATTTTATTGCACCTTACTAGAAACTACTGTAGAATAGGTGCCTCAAGCTTGACTTATTTATGATTTGCATATAAATTCAGAAGCCTATATTGCGGAATTTATGAATCATGCTGACAAAGTTTCTGCTGCATATGTACTTTTCCATCATATACTCAGTTTATTGTACCAAGGTTTGTAACAAGTTTACTTTAACTGCAGTGTAATCTGCAGAAAGGTCCAGGACCTGTCTGTGCTGTCTGAAAGGGATACCTGGATCACCAGGTTGGCCAAAGAGAATTAAAAAGCCTTTGCTAGGTAAAACCATTACCTTATATATATTTCAACTCCTTTTAACTGCTTGCCTAGAGTTGTTTACATTCCTGATAACTATTTTGACGGAGGTGTTGATAACTCACAATTATTGTGAGAAATGAGGGAGTGGTAAGTACCCTTCTGACAAAGCTGCAGAAAAAGAGCAAAATGTACATTTTATAAGTAATGAAAGCCATAGAACTACAGAAACAAATCAGTTTGAAAGCTATGCCAGCTCTCAGGATGACAAGGCCAAACATGCATACATGTGCATACTATGTAAAAGTGTATCAAATAGCAACATATGCATGTAAAAAAAGTATTGAAAAAGTTTTTGAAACTATCAGGTTTTTATTGCTGTCTGTGTCCTCGCCAGGGAGATTCTGCTCTACTCTATCTGGTGACCATTGTCTCTGAGACAAAAGTGAGGGGAAAGTAATCATTGCAGAGTGGTCACCAGAATAGGAGGTGAGGGAAATCTTGCAATAGAGACACCTGTTCTGGTAACAAATGTCTGAGAGTGGGTTTACCTTACTTTGGAGATTTGTTTTCTCCCAATTCCTGTTGTGTCTACAGGACAGGAAGTGAAGAGAAATTAACTCCAATGGCACACAGATGACACCCCCTATCAGGGGTGAAAGCCATACCCTACTCCATCTAAAATGAAAAGAAAAGGTTTTAGCTTTATTTACACTATTTTTTTAATCAGCTTTATTTTAGGCCCCATTCACACTGAGCGATATCGCGGATATTTACCGCGCGATATCGCTCTCCAATGCATGGCAATGGGGCTCGGTCCGTCGCTGTCGTGGGTCGTGCGTCGCTACAGCAGGACCCTTTTTGGAGCGGATTTTGCCGCGATTCTAGTTTGCTCATCGCAACCATTTGTGCGATATCGCACAACAAACCGCACGATATCGCGCAAAATGCAAATCGCTCCACAAACGCTCAGTGTGAATGGGGCCTTAAACGTAAGAAAAACAACACACATCTAGTATTTGACGTGCATTGGGTCATAGTTGATGTACAGATCACAGTATAACCCAACAGTTTTAGAGTCTAGATAAGTTATTAAGCCAAAGTCACGCACATCACAGAATAAAGTGGCTAAACAATACAATGGCGTGATAAAGGTACGCTTGTAATAGGAACGTACAAAACCAAAAGGGAAAGGGTCCCCAGATGCAGTAGGGATGGAATAACCAAAAGTCCACCACAAAGTCACAGTGTCCCTTAACTTCAGAGCAGAAGTCTATCTCTAACCAGTTTAAAGGTGGTCAGGTCAGGGGTATCCAGTCACTTCCCCCAAAGTTTCTTAAACTTAGAGGAGGAGTCAGTATGCAAATAGATATTATTTTCTATTAGTAGATATACAGTACATTCATATGGCCTATCCACTGTCTATAAATAGGGTGAAGTGGATCTTTATAAGCGCATTAATATAAACTTAGAAGCTTTGAACAGAGCCCTAAGGATGGTCATGTTTTTATTGTGATAAAATTATCTTCCAGAACACCAAGAACACATACAACAGGGGTCTTGGGAACTAGGACATAACTTTGGATAAGCTTCATTCATCATTGGAATCCATATACCTACTTTCTTATCCCCTTTTTGTTCATCTTCCCCTTCTCTCCACCTTTAACCATCCCCTTCCCTATCCAGTACCTCCCAATTTCTACTCTTCTTCCCCTCCCCGTCCAGCTGGGTTTACACCTAGGCGACAGTGTTTTGATACACGTTTTCGTGCAATTTTATGCGCACAAATCAAATTGCGCATTTTTGTGAGCAGTTTTTAGTTCATTGATGTTAATGAGCAAACAAACGTTTTCAAGCATTTCCTATTGAGTCTATGGGGCCAAAACGAGCTGTAATATGCAAAAAAAAAGTTCATGTACTTTTTTCAGCGACAGGGGTTTTTTCCAGCGACAGGCATTTTGCTTATTGCAACAAAACACTCAGATGTGAACAGGGCCATAGACATTAATGGGATTTTTGGGGTGGCATATTTTTTGAGCGTTTTTTAGGGCAGAAAAGGCACTACAAAACGCTCAGTGTGAACTGCCTTAAGTCGGGTATACACACTTCCATTTTCTTAGTCCAACCAGCTGAACGAAGAAAATAGGACAGATTACTCCATCAGCACTTACAAGCGTTGATTGAGGAATGTCCTGTTGTTTTCTTTGTATTCTGACAGCAACAGCAAAAACCAGACGGAATTTAAAGTGTGCATACTTTACTATTAAGTTTCTTCTGCACACACTCGTACACCCCTATAAGCATAAACCTCACGTTATTATCTACTAGATCCCCCAAATTATCTACTAGAGACTATGCCTGCACATAACATTTCTCCCTCTACAACAGGCTTTGGCGTGAGTGCTAGGAGTCAGCAATTAAACTCCCCCTTTTACGTCTGAGCTTCGAGCTATTGAAATGTAATGCATGATTGAAGCAATATTGTATCCTTATTCTACTGTTACAGAATACCTTTATTTTATAGACCTGCTTGCACATTTCTAT